TAAGCGCACCCGCCGACCCGCCGCACGCAGTCATAAAATCAAAGCAAATCACTTGTTATCCCATTTGGCTCAGTTTCACAGCCCCCCTCCCACCCCTCTCATTCCCCGTCGACCCGCTGCATGTCATTTGGCAGCTACTTAATTTCTGACTTGCAACCAACCCCCTTTTTGGGCGAGCCTCTGGGCTCTGGGCGCGCCGGATGAGCACATTGTGGGTGCTGCTCCTGCTCCTGCTCCTGTTGTTATTGTTGTTGCTGCTGCTGCTGGTGCTAATATTTGTGGCCTGCCGCAAGAAATTGCTTTTTCATGAACTTGACTCATTTATTATTTGCAACAGTTTCCTGCCGTCTGCCGTCTGCCTGCCTGCTCGCTTCTTCTTCCAGCTGTTGTTGTTGTCCTGACACCTTTTGTCTGTCTGTTTGACCTTTTGGTGGTGTTTCTTTTTTTTTTTTTTGTTGGTGTCAGTCGCAAGTGAAAATTAAAAGTCCAAACATGAAAATGCTTTTGTTCGCAGCATATGGCTGAAATTTTTGGAAAACCGGCTTTTGCTTTTGCCCTCAGCCCTGATTGCGTTCTGCTCCATTTGCCGCAAGAGCAAAAACCAACCCGGGCGGGATTCGGCAGCGGGGTGGGTTCTTCGGCGGCAAATTTATGTATTTTGTGCCCTGAAATTGCATTTGCATTTGGCAAGTGCAGGAATTCAAAATGCGTGCAACATTTTCAGTTCACAATTAGAATGTAATTTCAGAAGAAAAAGAAGCTAGAATTATTTTGATGAAGCATTTTGTCTATAAAATGTGCTTAAATTTAAGATTTCGATTCGGTTTGAAAAGTAAATTTGAACACATTTCGAGTTGTTTTGCGTTTAGATGCTTTTGATTCAGATAGAGATTTCTAGATTTCGAATAGTTATCATTTATTATCTTCTTTTTCGCCTCAAAGATAAGAATCTATTTGGATATCGAAAACCTATATCTCGACTGATCTCATCTCTTTCTTTTCTCCGAGCTATGTAAAATTATGCATATATTATATCTAGATATATCATATTATAACTTATAGGTATATTCTATGTTCTCTGAACTATTTAAAATTCTAGATATATTACATCTTCCCACACAAAATCCCGCACTTCAATCTGTTTTCTTAAATATTTTCATTATTTATGCACAAATCAGATTTTATAGTCCTTATATTTAGCTATTTTATAGCTCGTTCTTTTTGTCTCAATTTCATAATCCAATAAATCAAATCTTCTATTTATTGGAAGCCACAAAAAAAAAAGTGGCACGCCCCTTGCAGGCACTCGCTCGCGTCTGATAATTTATTCATAAGGGCGAAGCTTAAAAAATTACCGTCAAAACACAATTTAACGCGGCTAAAGGAGCGTCAATAAGGGGGAGTGAGAGAGAGAGACAGAGAGGGGGAGGGTTGGGTAAAAAGAAAATAAAACAACATGCACAAAGTGTCTGGCGCACAGACACACACACCCCACACACACACACACACACACACACACAGACAGCGACACGTGTGTCTGTGTGCATAAAAAATAAATGTTTTGTTTAACCGACATTTTAACGCCTATTTGCGTGCCGTGCACGTCATGCACGTTATGCCAATTTAATGGGCACAGCGCCTACAGCTAGGCAATGACTTTTGGCTTTTACACGCAAACACACACAGAGAGAGAGAGAGAGAGAGGGGAAGAGAGAGGGAGAGAGAGGTCGAAGAAGCAGCTGGATAAATAAATAAAGCGAGCAAAACATAAAAAGGCAAACGCCAAAGACATGCGAATGTGGCAAGCAAAATAAAAGAAGCGGCTAAAATTTAATTGTCGTAAACAAAGAGAGAAGGCGAGAGAGCGAGAGAGAGCGAGAGAGAGCGAGAGCGAGAGCGAGAGAGAGCGAGAGCGAGAGAGAGAGAGCCAGACAGTCAGACGTAGTCTTAAATTATTAAATTAAAAGTTAATGAATAGAGCGACGCATAAACACGTAAAAAGCATAAACAAGTCAAGGTCGCTGCCGCCGCAGTCGCAGTCGCCCCCTGCTGCCACACCCTCCACCCGCCGTGTGGCACATTAGCGTCCCTTGTGCAACATTGAGCGCATACTTAGTGGCACGCTGTCGATCCTGCTGCTGCTGCTGTCGTCCAATAGTTGCCGCTGTCTGTCGCTGATTTTTCCTCTCTCTCTCTCCTCCTATCTTCCTCTCTCTCTCTCTCTCCCCCTCCCCCTCTCACTGGCTGCCTCTTTGCTGGCCGACATATGACAAATACGCTGGGGACCATCAGCATTACAAGCAAAGTTACTTTGCACAAAAGTTGCCATTTTTCTTTGCCTTTTCTCGGCTTTGATTTTTACTGCTCTTCCTGCGGGCATTCGAAATTGTAAACGAAATATGTCACGCCTTGAAAATGTCCTCGTTGCTGTTAGAAATATATATTCCTGATCAATAATAGTCCTGTCTGTATAGTCGTGTCTGTCCAGCTGTCTCTCTGTCTGACTGTCTTTCTCTTTGCATACGAATTAGTCTTTCAATTTTAAAGCTTTAAGAAGCTTGTTCTAGAATCCTCAGCTGGATCGAAACACTATAGCATATAGCTGTCATAGAAATTATCCTACGATCGTTAATTTCTCGTAAAAACTTAAACTGAGCACTTATAAGCTTTAGCGCGTTTCTGTTAGTAACCAAATTTGAACATCTTAGTACCAGCTCGATCATTTAACTCTGTGATACTTTATATCCTTCGAAAATTGAGTTTCTGTATGAAGAGTTCAGATATCTAGATATGTTTCTTGTATGTGAAGCAATTTGCCATCAAGCTGGGATAAATAGGATATTTAGCGGACTTAGGAACCAGGCGTAGAAAGGTAGATCTTTGTTGGGATAGAAAATGGAGTGTACATTCGGATAGAAGTTGAAGATTATGTAGGTTTGCAAAATTGAGTCTATGCATGGATAGAAAACTGAGAAAATCTGAATCTATGTAGGGGTAGAAAATCGAGTCGATGTACAAGAAGAAAACCATACATTATAAAATCCAAAAAAAACCTATTGTTTGCCAAGTTTTCACAACTAAATTGATCAAAACAAGGGGAAGCATTATAATATATAAACAAACCTAATATCGCTATTCCATATCAGTTTTACTTCTACACGATAAAAATCTAAGCCCGCTAAATCTGACTAGTCTGGCCATTTCTACAGCCCATAACAGCCACATGTCGTGTCTGCGAGGGTATTTCAGCTTCGGCCTGCCTGTGCTAGTTGTTTTTCTTTTTCTCTACTCGGCTTTTGGCTGTTTATGTTGTTGTTGTTGTCTGTTTTGCTCGTCTTGGCCATTAGTTGTGGCCGCTGGCGCTGACTGGCACCGCGACTGGCAGCGCGACGCGGTGACAGCTCAAGATTGCCAAGGATGGCTGGCTGGCAGCATTTATAAATACGCGACATGGCAATGTCGAGGCGATGCCGGCGAACTGGCGCACGGTTAAGTTGTCAACCCGCCGCGTGATGTGGATTCGCCAGCGGATTGTGTCGCCGTCTTTGTTATGCACGGCGGAAAAATCGTTTCCATGTCACAAGTCATTCACTCAGCGAAGCTTCATTTAGCTAGGTTTTCCTTCCTATTTTTTTTTTAATTTTTTTGATGTATATTTTCTGAGAAACTCTTTGGTTGAAGCTACCAGCAAATCAAACAAGCTGCAGTCGCTGCTGTCCCCTAAAAGCAGGCAACACTTCTCGCAAAGTAATTTGCCGCTGTGTGTGTGCGTGTGTGTGTGTGTGTGTGTGTGCGAGTATGTGTGTGCTGCTTGTAAATGTCAAAACCTCAACATGTCTACACAGCAGCCTGTTTGTCCTGCCACTTGGTTCTTATGCATATATGGAAATGCCAATTTCAAACAACCCACACATCCGACATGGGCCTCGGACCGCTCCCTATCCCTGCCCCCGGCCTTGTCCCTACCCCTAGCCGCTCATTTGGCCAAGGCAATACCTGCCGATAAGACAAAAGCGAATGCGGCTGACCAAAGATGCGTTGGGGCTGTGGCAGCTGCTGCCAAATTGTTGCCTTGTCTCTGACTACGACTATAAAGAATTTACATATGGAATTTATGCGCGTGTGCGAGTGTGCGAGTGTGTGTGTGCGCCGAGACATGTTTTGACTGTCACGACGGTAATTGATCTCGATTAAGACCATGTACGAGAAGTCGCTTAACAAGCAGACAACACATGTACACACACACACGCACACACACACACACGCTTACACACGCTTGAGCCCATTTGGCCACGGTCTTAAGGCTTTAACTGGAATCAGCTTTAATTAAGCTGCAATCAAGGCAAAATCGCTTGATTTAAAGCAACAAATAAATGAGAAATTCGCTTTAGTTTTATTTATGCAGCTCGGCAAGTGTAAAAGACAGCTCGCATATATAGAACACATATAAATCGGACATATATCCTTAATTTAGCTGCGACTTAATCGATTTATACCCCAATTGTATGCTTAGCTACTTGAACTAAAAAACTGAGCTTCTAATCAAGTCTTACAATGCATGATCAGACTCTGAGCAAACATTTCAAAGTAAAGCTAAACTGTTTTCCCACTTACTGTTTGAAAGTAACTGTCTTGGGCGCACAGTTTGAGAGTCACTTGTGGCATAATCAAAATCAATAATAGCTGGAAAAATAGTTGAAAAGCGAATTTCTGATTATGACTGTCAAACTGTGCTGCTTAGTATGCGGCTTTCAAACTGTGACATAAGTCACTGGAAAAACTTTAAGACTGGCACTGTAAAAAAAGAATATTACTTAGTATGTGGCTTTCAAACTGTGACCTTAGGCACTGTAAAAGAGAATATCTCTTATTATGACGCTTTCAAACTGTGACTTAAGTCCGCCTAAACAGAGTATTGCGCAGCTGGTCAGACCTCAGCATTTTCTGGCCGCAACAAATTCGACATATTACTCAAAGACCTGTATTGGTTATTATTTCAGGTCTGGTTCCAGAACCGTCGCGCCAAGTGGAAGAAGCGCAAGAAGACCACAAATGTGTTCCGCACACCGGGCGCCCTGTTGCCCTCGCACGGCCTGCCCCCATTTGGGGCAAACATCACGAACATTGCGATGGGCGACGGACTCTGCGGCACAGGAATGTTCGGCGGCGATCGCTGGAGCGTGGGCGTCAATCCCATGACGGCAGGTGAGTGCACAAATGAACTAACCCAAAAACTAAACGTCTAACTATATGCTATCCAACAACAACTATCTTTACGCATTACGGCTGGCCTCCGACACAGGCTTCGGTCAGCTAAATCAAACCTCGCCGCTTTCGTCCACGCTGAATAGCGGCCTCAATTCGGGCATTAATATGGGCTCCGCCCTGGGTGCCGGCACCTATCAGCACTATGGCCTGAATGCTTTGGGTAGGTGCGCCCCACACAACAACCACAACAACCACAACACACCACCCCAAGACTACCCCTAATTAAAATCACATGAAAAAAAAAAACTTTCCATTTGCATGAAAAAGCGTTGACACTTCTTTTTTATATAGATATATATTTCATTTTTCCCCCTCCTCCCCGATTGCTGCCTTATTTATTTAGCTCTCGATACAATCCAGTTCGGCTGACAATTGCCGAAACACGACAACGTTTTCATTTCTTTGAACTCATAACACTTTTTTTTCGGTAGCAGGCAGTAAGAAAAAAAAAACAAGCAGAGACATACGAATCTCTGGCTATTTCGCTTCGGATTTTTGTGTATTTGCTCGCCCAATTAACAGGCAGTCGTTTAATTTTCAGGAATGCCCCAAAGGCATTCTGTGCGACACGTCTCCGTCTCCGTCTCCGTCTCCGACTTTGAGTTTTATTTGATTTCGTATAGTTGTGTTAATTGATATTTTGGAGACAGGTTTTTATTTTTGCCTCTTTCAAAGTTTTCATTGTTACACTTTATTTCATTTCGTTAATAATTTTTGGGAGGTTTTTTTTTTAAACTCTGAACTGCAGTTGCGTTTGTTTAATCGTTCTCTCTCTCTCGCTCTCACTCACATTCGAATAGGCGACTCGATGATGTATCAGCACAGCGTGGGCGGGGGGGTAAGCTGCGGACCGGGCGGCTCCCCGAGCGCCACCACGCCGCCCAACATGAACAGCTGCTCATCGGTGACGCCGCCGCCGCTCTCCGCGCAGCCCACACAGAGCGAGCTCAATGGCGAGCCCATGGTAAGTGCTGCAGCCGAGACACAAACCCAACTGTTAACATAACACTGCTATTGCAGACGCACCACCAACAGCAGCAGCAGCAGCAGCAGCAGCAGCAGCAACAACAGCAGGCACACCAACCGCAGCAGCAGCAACAGGCTCACCAACAAACCCTAACGCACCAGCAACAGTCAGGAACACCAACACAGCAGCAGCAACAGCAGCAGCAGCAACAACAACAGCAGCAACAACATCAACAACAACAACAGCAGCAGCAACAGCAGCAACAGGATAGCGGCAATTTGCTGCCGCACTGTCACCAGGCCATGCAGTCGCCAGATGGCGCCACCGACGAGGATGTCTGGCGGGGACACAGCATTGCAGCGCTGCGGCGGCGAGCATCCGAACTAAACGCAACAGCAATTCCTTCCTATTTGCATCACGCCGCCGCCGCACACAACAATTACGAGCACCACAATTCGGTCTACTGAAATTTGTTGAAAAGCTTTGAAAGCTTTTCGGATTACGGTTTTTCCAATTGCGGCACTCACGAGTTCTAAAACAGTTTGACAGCCACAGGGCGCAGCAACAAGTTTTAGTTTTTTTTTATCAGTTAACATTAGTTTTTCTTCGTTTTCTTTTCTTCTGTTACACACATATTTTTTAACTCAAAAAATAAAAGACTATAATGAATGTAAACCATGTATACGAGAGCGGAACTTGAGCTAAATTTAGTGGCATTAACTAGCGCAACTAAAACCCTATACGAACCCATAAATGTATTAAAATTACGCGTAAAACATAAAAAAAAAAAAACAAAAACAAAAACTAAATGAAAGTAGTTCTGTCCGAACTCAACGAATTAATTCTTTAGCAATTAGTAAACAATTATAACATAAATATTCAAGCAGAGGATAAAGCAGAAAAAATCACACACAACGTATACGAATTGATAAAAGTCAAGGAAAAGAAAAAACAAATATGAAGAAGAAGAAGCAGAAGAAGAAGAAAAAGAATTGTATAAAACAAACATTTTTGCATAGCGCTCAGAGTTGCCTACAGAAGAACTTTAAGGCTCACAATAATTTTTGGTATGCTTCCGAGCAGCTTAAATCTTGATATATATACACAACTATACATATACATATATACACACATATATATATATATCTTATATAGTTATTATGTAAACGTAAGCTTAGTAGATGTAAACTTAAGTGTTGTTGTTTTTGTGTATAGCTCTTCTCTGTTTAGTTCTTTTGCCTCTACTCGCTCCTACATATAGAGTACATGCTTATATACATGCATGCATGCATGCATGCACACATGCACACATGCATACATGCGTGCATGCATGCATGCATACATGCACACATATATTGTTTAAATGGAAATAAACTATGCAAGAATTACATAAACAAATCATATAGCTAAATGTATCAGCCACAAACCGTACAGTTTTAAATGCACAGTTAATTAATGAATTAGATGAGACATCAAATGGATTAATTTGAATACGTAATATGCTCGCGAAACACACCCGAGTCCATACATATAGATACACGCATTAAACACAATTATGGCATATACTTGTAATAGACTCTCTACTAATGTTTAAGCCTAAATTTAAACAGCAAACGCAAATGAAAAACTACAAAAAAAAAAAAAAAAGAATTAAAACTATATATATATATCATGTAAAACACGAAAATGAATATGTATGTAATTATGCGTATTATTAAATAGTAAACTAAATTAAATATGAATTGAACGTGATTTAAATAACAGTAAATTGAAAAACTATGCATTAATAAAAACTGATTTCAGTGTAAATGTTATGCGATTTGCGATTTAGCTTAACTTTTAATTAATAAGCAGCTGGCAAGAGGGCGAGGCGCACGTAGGGGGCAGCACATATAACACTTGCATTAATATGCTGCAAATGCAATTTAATGCCAAGCCAATTAGCTAAAGGCTGCCACAAGGTTCGAGAGCTGCGCATTGGCCCCTCGCTTGCATAGGTGGCAGTTGCAACAAAAGCAATTACAATAATTGCATGTTGCAGCACAGCTTTTGGCTGGCTAATAAAAACGCCAAAACGCATTTGCCACAAACAACTTTAAGCTCAAATTGCCAAATTGATAAAACTTTGACAGCACACACACACACGTACACACACGCACACACACGTACGCACACAGGTCAGCCAAATCTCTCTGGCTATTGACTGCTTGCCCCATTATTGGGGTCAGCTGCAGAGATGGCAACAGCAGTGTCCACTGCGTGTTTACGGCCCGCCTGTGTTTGCATCCAGCATACCTTATCCATGGTCATAAGTAAAACAGGGTATATCGATTTTAGGTGCTCGGTAGATCACCTCATGTATCCATATTTACCCAAACATCTTTTCGTAGCCCTACACATTCAATGAACTCTTCCTTGTAGATACTAAATTCTAGAAGCAAATACTAAAACTCCTGCTGTATTTGAACCAGCGACTTCATGCTTGCCAGTCTGACGCTCACAGAACTAAACCACGCAGCCTTCATCTATCCCAAGCTCGTTTACAAAGCTGCCTTAAACTGATTTTACTTACAACTTTAAGAACGACTTTTACTCACACTTATTAAGGGTACTCTGCTTACAGGGTATCTCCGACTCGTCCATGCTTTCGCTACAGCAATATTTCCGCTTGTTATTGGTAGTTTGTAGCATATGCATACACGTGGCTTATAAATATTATAACGACTGCAGCTGTGACATTTGACATGCACATTGTCACGACAATTGGCCAGACTTAATCACACTGATGGCACTTTTATGCGATGTGGCAGCAACTGCGTGCAACAACAGCAATTCAATAATAATAAAAAATGTAAGCGAAACTACAAAAAGTGGTCTTTAGTATGTGGCCTTTATATTCGGATGTGGAACGTGGAGAGAAAGTCGGGGGCGCGCAGTATGACATGCTCGAACTCCAATATGGATAGCTTCCCATCGCCATCGACGTCCGCTTCCTCGATTACCTTGTCGGCAATCTGTTGATGCTCCTCCGGACTTAGCTCGTTTTTGGTCATTGTTGTCAGGCAGGACATCAGGTCGGCGTGCCCAATGAAGCCGTCTTGATCGAAATCTGCAATGTCATGCCCAGACATGCATAAGTACTGCGAGCACATGTGTGTGTCTCTCCCTCTCCGTGTGTTGTGTGTGTGTGTGTGTGTGTGTGCGCGTGTCGTATTAACACAGTTGACATTTTCATGCATAAAAGTCAACTGATGTGTGCAAAACTAAGTTACAAGCCCATATTCCATATTCCCATGCAGTTACATATGCATATCTCTGTACATATATGCATATCCATATCTGTGTGTGTGATTGTTGCATAATCGCATGTGCTGGCTGTCAGCGTTGCATGCTTCAATTTGTGTCAATCTAATAATGCACTTGGCGACAAGACTAGTCGGCAGCAGTGACTAGTCAGCCAGCGCGTTGTGCTCTGTTTTCTAAATATTTTCATAGAATTGCAAACGAGCCAAGGCAAATGCTGCTAAGCCTGACTTCGATAAGCCAAGGGTATTCTTAGGCTTAATCATGCATACAAATACAACAAATAATGCGCCTTCAAATCGAATCAAATGACACAATCAGCTCTAAATAGGTGCTGGTATGTGACAGAAATTGAGCTGCATTTTAATTGCACTCGAAACTGAAACCAATTCTCTTGCTATTTCTCATAGTTTACATTACAAGAAACCCTAAAAGACTTATATAAAGAATGTGTGTTTCCCCTCGATTTAACTCTACATTAAAACTGCACTAAAATCTGACAAACAATGACATGTGAGGTCGCATTACATGAGGACATGTGAGGTCCTTAAGCATGTATCCAAATTTGAAACTATCTTAATTTAGTTGATGCTAAACCAATTTTGTTGAGACATTTTATTTACTTACAATTAGCTTAATGCTACATTTAAATCTGAAAGCCAGCTTTGTGTTCACAATGCAAGTCAAATTGTTTACCCAGAATTCCAAATAGGAATTGAGTCCAAATTCAAACCAGCTTAACTAGCTTATGAAAAAACTAAAGCTATGCTATATATAAGTAGTTTTTGGTCTTAGCTCGAACTCTAATTTAATTCTAATTAATTCTCTTCAAAGAGAACATCTTTCGTAGAATTTGTTTAAAATGTATGTCAACAATGCGTGCAAATTCTAAACAAACTTCGTCAAAACTCTAGCATTTTTTATAAGGAACGACTCTGCGGTTGATTGAACTTTTCAATATTGAAAACTTCTGATTCTTATGAGAAAGCACTTTTTGCGCTTGATTTAGTCTCTACATTGATTTTACATGCAAAACATGTTGCTATAATTTTTTACATGCGCGTGCATGCGGGTGCATATTTTCAACTATTTTGGTCTTGAATTAAGCTCTAGATTGTTAGATTGGTTTTACGTATCAAACTTTACAGCTTTCGATTTTCAACTAGCGAATTTTACGAGCCGCCTTTATATGTATTAAGCTCATATATACGTCAAAAGAATTGCCCTGAAGACGTTTGCCGAGGCGCAATCGAAACAGAATTGTGTTTCATTTTTGATTAAATAAATATTTAAATAAAAATTAAATATTTTTGGCAAATTTTGCAAACTTTCAACAAACATAACTTGGTCAAACCTGAAACAAACTCTTATGAGAAATGTGTCCATATTGTCTCCAACTCCAAACTGAAATAATTTTCATATGGAAAGGCGAGCAGCTGCTTCTTTGGCTTGCTTATGAATATGACATATGCTTCAAAATGTTATTTCTTTTCTTTTAAATGAAACTGTGTATCACAAATGAATTCAATTTATCAAACTATCAGAGAGCTTCCCCAAAGTCACAAAAATTATACATAAAATTGATTTGTATGCTGTGTTGTTTTATACAATCATTCGATTTGTTGGCCTGCTTTGTGCTCTGTTGATTCAAGTCCCAATTCAATTTGCACGCATATGAAAAACTAATATATGCATTTAGTTGATGTTTAGTTTAGCAAAGTGCACACTTAATTGCCGGCCAGTTTATTTGCGTGGCTTTCGTGTCGTAAATCCACAAAGTTGTAAAATCAATTGTCAACTGGATGCCAGAAAGCGCGACAAATTTTTCTCCAGCTTCTAATTTAAATTTCAATTAAAATGCTTATTAGAATTTATAACTGGCCTTGAACTGTGCCACAGCAACAACAAGAAGCTGGCAGATCGAGTTTTGGACCTGGGCCACGAATAACTGAGGCGCGACTAGGCAAATGGCATTGCGTTCCATGTAAATGCCAAAGAGACAAAAGCAGAACCAGCCAGCAAATGCACAGAACAGAACCCGCAAATGTTGGCCAACAACACGGCCAAAAGCGTGCACCACAACAACAACAACAACAAGACGAACAACATGAACTTGAACAAGTAAAAGTGCGCCAGACGGATGTGCTCGACTAGCAGATAACCTAAGCACTGCGACCAGCTGCTGTTCCTAACATTCCAGCTTCCTTCTATACATATATACACACACACACACACACTTGCATATGCACACATATACATACAAGTAACTGCGGTGCTTATGGTCCGATCCTTATGAAAATTTCTCGCCTCATATGTGGCATACAATATATGTGAATACCAAAGCACAAGACTCTACCTTTAACAATAACTTTTCTAGCGATTTGCGGGGAAAAGGGGGCTAGAATAGAAAAAATAAAATATTTCCAATCTGTGTATGCTAAACGAGAACATATATACCAGGTGTGGTGCATCTAGCTGTTATAGTTTTTGAGTTATGCCCATAAAACTAAGTTTATAAATCGATATTTATCGAAAGTATAAATTTGCGAGAAGTTATCGACCAAGAAGTAGTTTAAAGGATTCACACAGGCGAACATGCAGACGTACTTGACTTTACTATCGACTCAGCTCGATCTGATCAGGATTATATATACTCTAGGGTCTCGAATATGTCCTCTTGGTACGAGTTATCGACCAAGAAGAAGAGCGAGGTGGACGGACTTGATTAGAAGAACAACTCAGCTCATAGTCCAAACCAAGAAATATATATAGTTTAGTGTCTCGGATATGCCGCCTACTACTCTATTATATTTACAGGGTATACAACAAAGAACTTACCATAAATTTTGAATGCGTAGAAAACTTTAATATCTCTGGGCGCCTGCTCGCTAAACACGGATAAAGCATCCAAGAAGTCCTCAAAGGATAAATTACCCAGGCCATCGCGTGAGAATGCCTCGCCTGGTCAGTGCCAAGTGGGCGTGGCAGTGGGGCGTATACCAAAAAAATAAAATAAAAAAATAAAAACATAAATAAAATAAAGTAAAACGAAATTCTTTTGCTTATGCGGCTGAATGCGGCATTGTGGCAGCTGTAGTCGTTGTTGTACTTACAGATACGTCGCCGAAAGGGATTCTCACGCAACTCGGGCATCTTCTCAATGCATTCGCGTGGAACCTTGACACTTGAGGCCTGACCCTCGGTCATTTGGCGTGGCACCAAATCCGGACGCAGCTCACGAAAGCGTTTATGCACGCTGCGTTCCATGAAGGCGGGCGAAAAGGGATGAGAGCAAACGCATGATGAAAGGCTTTGTTGTGTGTGTGTGTGTGAGTGTGTGTACGACTGTGTGTGTGTATTTTTGCTGAGTGCCCTTAACAAAAGATTGTGCCAAACAATGGCGCCAGCTTCGTGTTTGAACGGAAAATAGTTTCCGCTTATTATATTAACACAACAGGCATTACGTATACGCCCCGTGGCGGCCATCAAATACAAACCGCAGAATCTCCTTGCGTGTGAAAAACGTGCAATCCTTTTTAAAGAGCGAGAGAGAGAGAGAAAATTGATTGGGGAACTTTTAAAGCTGGCAATTCGCTTGGGCAACGCACCTGATAGTCATCCAATTGCTGTTCGGTGAATGTCACAATTTTGTTGCCCATCGCTTATCCAATTGTGTGTTTGTTTATGCACAGCTTCTGGCCAAAACGGCTGCCAACTGCTGCCTTCTGCAAACGCTGCTGCTGCGCGACTGGCAAAACACAGCGCGAACTCCAACTTTGCATAGAACAACCTGAATCAGGATCAGGCGGGCACGGGCATGGGCACGGGCACAGACCCAGTCCAGGCCCAGCCCCTGACTGACACATCCTGCGGCGCCTTTTGCAGCGACAGCGTATGGCTCCAGCTTGTCCTGGCCGCATTCGCATGGAAATTAATTAAGGAGTGTTCACGTTGTGCCATATATTTCCGTTGGTTTTTTTTTTTTTTTCTTGCTGTTGTTTCTGTTTCGCCCTCGCGCGCGTTCGCCCACCTCTGCCCTGCCCTGGCCGGGCCATGCCACGCCTCGCCTGTGGTTTGCTTGACAGCGAAAAGGCAGCGGTAAAAACGTTTACGCGAGGCGCGCCACACGGCTAAAAAATCCAGAGAGAACAGTTTAGCCTTAGAGTGCCGAATATTAGATACCCTTTAAAGTAGTAGCAGCCGAAATAAACACTCAACTTTAATACGTTTCTTCAAATAGCATTAAGGTCTTCTTTTTATTGAGATCTTTCTTTTATTTTGGAGCACAGCACAGCCGAGCTTGATTAAGATATCTGCATCTTCAGCACGCCGAAGTTTGAATACTCTTATCGATATATCGTACGACTTATGGACTTGCAGATATGTGAGGAGCCTGGCAAAGTAAGCAATTGCAATCAAGATATTGCAGAAAGAGTTTTCCCATACTAAAACTCGTTTATCAACCCATGTTTTCATATAGAGCTATATGATATAGTAGGCGCACCTAATCTAGTAGAGCTATATGATATTGTTGAACTTTATTACGTTGTTTGGTCGAAATGTATTATAAGCAACAACAAATTGTTCAAACAAGAGCTAAGTTTTCGACCGATCGTTCCTATAACAGCTATGTGATATAGTTAACTAATCCGAGCGATTAAGACATAGGCATTGCGTGCAGCAGAAAACGAATCAGTTTTATCAATTTAAATTTTCAAAGCCGAGCGACAGACCGACAGACATGTCAATAACGACTCGGCTCTTGCTATATATCAGAATTATAAATACCTTATATAGTCAAAGACATTTCCTACTAAGCGTCGCACAGCACATGTCATAATTATAATATCCTTTGCCAGGGTAAATCAAAAGCCGCAGCGCTTGGGAGCAAAAAATGTGTAGCACAGTTTTGTGCGCTGCGAATTCGATGCGCGCGTTTTTAGCTGGGCGTCGAGACTTTATTTAATTAATTTAATGCTCTGCAAAACCTTTTCAATTTCGCGTGTGTGCTTTATAAATTTATGAAAGTGACTATCGGGCTTCGGATCCAGATCGAGCACGCTCAGCTTGGTCAGAAACTGACGGCCCCGCACGACCACCAGCCAGGGCTGCAAAGCGCTGCAAAAGTTAACGCTAATTAGCTGCACACGTGGGTGTGTGTGTGTGTGTGTGTGTGTGTGTGTCTCGCCTACCTGTTGTGCTTGGCCGGGCAGCATATCTCCTGAAACGTCAGCATTATGGAGCAGTCAAGTGCCGTGGCGCCCAGCATGTACGCCTGCTCGGCGGCCAGCTCATTCACATTATCCCACTGACGACAGCTGAGCAGCTGTCGCAGCGCCTCGTAGCTGGGCGTGGCATGGCCAGCATAGCCCCTTAGCCACATATAATGAAAATGCCGCTGTAATTGCCAAAAGAAAACGTTTGCGAAAGTTAAGCGACAGTCGAACAGACAGACCGTCAAATCTTCTAGCTGTGCCAAAAGTGCCAGCCACTTGGCCGGCGTCCAAGTGAGCGTCCAGCTCCAAATCCCACTGCACCACGGTCAGCTGTCCGTTGCCCGTTTAGCTGCCCTTTCAATTTCTGCTTTTAGCACGAGGCACTCGCCTGAAGCATTGTTGAAACATCAACCAGGTAAAGCTCAATGTAGTTGCCTTTGTGCAACTGCTGCACTTGAGCAGCAGAAACAAACTAAGAAAAAAGTTCAGCAGTTGTTGCTTGACTAGCTGATACCCTGTAGAAAAGCTATGACAGCAGGCAAGACTTTGAAAGGAAAGTATTGCCTGTTAGAAACACAAACGTATCGCTTAGGGAGATACGACATTTGCGAAAGCATAAACGTAGTCCACATTTAAATCTAATTACCTGTCGCTGCCTGGAAAAAACACTTCAAAGCATTTACAGGGTATATGAAAAGCTATTCGGACAGACCAAGCAGAGAGTCTGCTATGCTAATCTAGAAAACGTTGCCTGTTAACCGACACACTTTGCCCATCAATTTGGTTAGGGTATAAAATTCGGTGAAATCCGAAATAAAAATAAACAAAACTGATGATAGCCAATGGCAATAGAAATTTCTTTTGCTTGGTCTGGTTGCAACCTACCTTTACCAGCAATTGCAAATGCAAAATTTTTTGCAGCACACAATTTTTTGGTAAGTGAAATATTTCCGATTTGTTGATCTGTGCTTGAGTCTCATTCGGATGCGAATGCGGAGTCGAAGCTGGAGTCGCCGTCGCCGTCGGCGTCGCCAGTATTTCCGCTTCCATTTCCGTGCGAGCTGCTGCCATTGCCACATTCGTTGGCAACCAGGTTGGGGCAATTGTTGTTGTTTCGCTTGTTGTTGTTGCCATTTTGCCACGCTTTGTGTACCTTTGGCTCGTGTATTCAGCAGCTGCTGCTCTCGCGCCGCCGCGTCTCTGCGGCTGACCAGCAACAGCTTTGACAAACTCATCGCCCAGCTGCGCCTCGCCCTCCTCCTCCTGCTGTTCGACTACCTGCTCCTGCTGGTGCTTCTGTTTCAGCTGCCCAGCAGCATCAACATTAGCCACGCCAATTTCTGTAGTTTCTGTAGCTTTTGTCTTCGTGCCACAACGTTTGAATGTCGATTCCCCGAATGCAGCAGCGCCTGCCACGTGGCTGTGGCTGCCACACGGACTCTGGCCATCCGCGCTGTTGTTGTATTCCCTGAGCAGGCAGGCGACCAGCAAATGTTTTATAAGCGCCATAATTTCACTGGAGAATTTCACAGATTTTATGACCATGGCGTTGGCATTGGGCAGGGCAATGGGATTGGTTGGGGATTCCGATTGGGTTTGGGTATGGATTGGCGTTGGCGTTGGCATTGGTGAGTTTTCCAAATTTCGTTTGTTAGCATTTTCAATGCACATTCCAATTTTGTTGTGGTTTTTGTTGTTGTTGTCAACGTTGTGCCAAGGTGTTGAAATGAGTGAACAAAACATAAAAGCAATGCCAAGAGTTTGGCAACAAGAACAAGTAGAAATGAAAATAAAAATCAACAAGAGAAGGGGAAATAAATGGCAATGTTAGCGGTTGGCGCTCGAGAATTTGTGTTTGGCTGTTGCTTGCATTATTTATTGAATATTTGCGTGTTGAGCAATTGCTTCCAATTGCTTTACTTCACTTTTTTTTGGATGGAAATTTTTTGTTGCGCATAATATAAACGTATTCGCTTACAATAAATTTGCAGCGCAAGCAAACAAATCATTGGGAATTGCATTCAAATATTTAATGAAATATTTTATCAAGTATTTGTATAATATTTAATACAAATAAAAGCTAAGTCTTGCTTTAAATTCAATAACATTAGTTATTTGCTGGCTTTGCTACTTTTCTTTAATATTTTTAAAATTTGCTGCGCTGTTACATTAACATTAACAGCAGCTGCATAACAGCATCTTTAAATTGCATTGCATAAACACGCTGCTAATAACAGCTATGCTTAATTAACAGCAATGATACATTCAATCAACTGTTAACAGGGAGCTGCATGACTTTAACTAGATTTACAATGTTCATGTCAGACATGCTTCTTTACATTGTTTTTAATGTTAAAGGCAGCATAGTACAATAACAGCTGTTAACACTATGCTTAATTAACAGTGCTTAACATTTCTCTGACTGTTAGCACTCAATTAGGTTTAAAAGAGATTCTGCATATTCCAGGCAAATATTCAATGAAGTACAACAATAAAACACAAAATACTTGAATTTGCAGGAATGATCAGCATTTGGCTGATAAACCCAGATAGCCAGATAAATATATTTGCCCGCTGTTAATATTGATAAAAATGCAAACAATTTGCGCTTACCCTGGAAAAACTCGAGTATGCAGCTCCTCGCAGGAAATCGAATTCGCGTGATCGCCATAAATTAAATTGCCGCTCTGAAATACACGTAAATTATTTTGCGGACAAGCGAAAAGTGCATTCAAGGCATCGAGCATACGACCGGGTTGCCTAAAAAAAAAAAAAAAAAAACGAAGAGCAAGTAAAATATATACGTCTATATATGAAATAACACTATTAAAACATAAATATATGTATATAAATGGATGAAATAAATGCTGGCTGAAAAAGAGGCGAGCCGAAACAATTTTTTTTCGCAGCAGCGGCAAAGCCAAGTACGTAAAAAGCCGAAACGAAAAGAAATAAAACGCATTGAAAGTGGACGCGAAGCAGGCGGTAAACCGGAATGAAAGCGCAAGCAAATTGAATTTCGTGCACGGATGCACGCATGACTTAAAACAGCGGGCCACAAATAAACGAATGAGCCGCGGGATTCCACACACCCAAAAAATATAAAAAAAAAAAAACAGACACAAAAAAGACAGAGCCATACAGGCAGGCCATGCTCTATAAAGGTTCGAACCGGAAACAGGGCAAGGCAAAAAGTGCCATCCCGAAGGGCCCGCAGGTGGAACAAGCCGCAGGAGCAGCAGCAGCAGCAGCAGCAGCAGCGGCAGTTGAAAGTGTTGGAATTATGAAGCACGACAGGACACGCAAATGGAGCAGATTAAAATTTATGACTTAAAGGCGTGTGGCAAACAGAAACCCAAGCCCAAGCCCAAGCCCGAACCCGAACCCAAACCCAGTCCCAACTTACCCGGAGAAGAGCTGCAATGGACAATAGTTGCCCAAACGTTTGATTTTGCCCGTCTGCAACTGCGAGGGGTATGCAAGAGAAATTGAGAATGTTTGTAAATCAAATAACAAGTAGTTGGCTCCACACACACACACTTACACACACACACACACACACTCGCATGCACACTCACCTTTACGAGCTGCATGCTGCAATAGCGACACCTGCATTTGTCTGGATTTAACATCGACTGAACTGTTGGCCGCACCTTAGCCGGTTCAGAGGTTGTGTCCATTGTGCCGTCGCCAGTTGGCATTAAATCAAATAAATCGCTGACATAACTTGGCAACTGGAGCCAGCCCTGTTTCGGTTTTATTTCGATCGCATATGTATCGCCCAGGCGGCTGATTCCAGAGCTCCGGCTGTTCTGGCTGCTGCTGCTGCTGCTGCAGATGTCCGCATCCATGTCCGTGTCCATGTTCATGTCCTTCGCCTACAAATTATTTCGTTTGGCTTATTCTGCTGCTTTTTTTCTTGTTCTGTCTTTCTTTTTTACGGTGCTGCTCCTGCATGGCAAATGGAGTTGAATGCGGGGCCGTGCGCCAACTTTTGCCAGCGTTGACGCCATTTTGACTTGAAAATGCCAACGACTAGCGAAGTGGAGTTGGGAACGACACAAACAACAGCAAAAAGACAACCAATAAAAAAAAAATAGCAAGAAAGTAAGCTGCAATCGGGAGTGAGCAACTGGAAGATACCCTGTACCCAGCGCCAGGCTGCAGTTATAAATAATCAACGTTGCTTCTACTATATGCAGCTATAACTAACAATTGGGGATAGATATAGGATAACTGATGAAGTAAATGCCTGCCGAGAGTCTGCATACTAAATTTGGTGTCTGTAGCTCTTATAGTTCTCGAGCTATGCTCAAGAAACAAGGCTACCGATGTCAATTGTTATCGATACCTTGGGAACGGTTAAAGTTATCGATAACTTAAGCAAATTTGATTTGCGTGTGCCAAAGAAGGAGCTATATCCAAAATTTTAAATGATTAGCTATTATAGTTCTCGAGCTAGAGGCGCAGACAGAAGGTCCTGGCAAGATCAACTCGACTATCTGACCTCATGTAGAATATATAAACTGGGAAAGTCTCCGACTGTCTGTTACCACAAACAATATACCCATTTTGAGCAGCTGGAGCAAAACAGCCGGCAGCCAGGTTATCGCTGCCAGCCTGAACATGAACTGTAACTGCCTGCTATTGTCCTGGTTGTCCTGGTTATACTCCTTGTTGTTATTGTTGCTGCAACATAAAACAAAAGTTGTTGCTTGGCGCGCTGATTGTATGATGAGTTATGGCACAGGTAAAAATATGCCAACGGTCATTTCTGCAGCCATGTCCACACGCGCGGCTCAACTTGAAATTGAAAATTAACATTTAAAGCCAAAATTAAAAGCGGCACTTTTCCCGCTGGCCTCACTCTGCCAGCTGCTGCTGCCGCTGCTGACCATAGGCTGCTCGGTGTCCTCCGCACATCCTGTGCGGCGCACAATATGGCGTTAGTTATGGCGCCGTAACTATTGTTTTTTTTCGTTACTTCTTGCAATTTTATTTCGGTCAATGCTTTGGCAGCAAAGCCATAAATTGAATATATAACCATCGTGTACAGCGTGTGGCTGCAATGTGCGTCTAGCTCGACCCCACAGATATCCTGTGCGTGTTGCCGTGCATCAATCGAAACAATAATAACAAGCACTGGCGCCATCTAGCGGCAGCCAGTTGCGCACCAATTGCATAACCCAACGCTAGATGTCGCCAAGGTTTATTTCATTTTTGAATTTCAAAACATTTCAGCACAATTTGGAAACTTTTAAATGGGCATACTTTAAATTCCACGCATACTTTAATGGACATCTAACTAGATCTTCATTTTGATTCGATCTATACATATTAGGATACATATAAAAAGTACGCGATTCAACAATTTTTGACAATTCACCCTTAAGTGTGGAATATGGGCGAAAATAGCGTTTGTTAACTTTTTCACTATTTTGTTGTTTCTTTCGAACGGACGGAAGCAAAGTACTTGACCCGTGCAAAGCTGGATAATACCCACTAATAAATGAATAAACATAATTTGTAGCTCAGCTAATATAGCCATTTCTAGGGGTTACAGGGTATGTTGAACTAGTGGCTTTGGCGGCACTTTCAAAGCAATTTCGTCGTCTTTTATAACCGCACAAACCGAAACGGCCATCGGGTCCAGGCTAGGTTTTAGCTTTTGGCTGCTACTGCTGGCCACAACAACAACAACAACAACAACAACAACAACAACAGCAACAACAACAAGAAAAGCAGAAGCAACATTGGCAATAGCAACAACAATGTGTTTACACTGTTGCCCACTTTAATTCAAAACAAAGAACCGTTGATTTATGTTGCCTTAGCTGCGGCAGCAGCCATGTCCACATCCATGTGCCTGGCTCCTGGTTTAGCTTCATTTTTTCTCTCTTTTTTTTTTGTTGGTGTATTTGTTTTGTTAGGTGGTTGCACAAAGGCAAGCTAAACCGCAGCAGCGCATATGGCCGAAAAAAGCAACAAAAATGCCAATATTGTCCTTGTACAAAATATACAATATATTCGAGCCAATAGCCCGCCAATAGCAGGAGCAGCAACTCACCTGTATATTGGCAAGTAGAACATCGAATGTGGCAGGCAATTGGGTCACATCTGGCAACAGCAGACCGAATGGCCCCACAAATTCCTTATCGAGGCGCGCAACTGCAATGTGAAAGGGGAGTGGCACATGAATGTAAAGTGTAGCCGGTTGCGATTATTGATATATAGATGAACGCCGACCGGGTTAGCGCGGCTGGCAATGATAAATTGTGGCCAGCGCGCGCTGCAGCCTGTTGCTGGCCCAGGCCAATCCTCAACTAGCTGCCATATAAACCGAATTTTGATATATGGCTGCGACTATTGGCCGGCGCCGGAAGCCGGTCGCCCGCTGCCCGACGCCCGTTGGCCGCCACACTAATCAGTCCCATGTGCAGCTCCACTTTGATGCACAATTTAGAAACTGGAGCACGCCCGAGACTGGGACTCCGACTCGGACAGCGGACAGCGGACAGAGACGAGGTCTGCACTAAAAAGCTCGTTTATGATTGATTGCTTTGGCGGATAGAAAGGCTTTTGGATGCAGGCCAAGGCGGCGCAAGTGCAGCGCGAGCTGATCAAATACAAAATGTTGCCATGACGATAGCATAAAAACATGCACACTAGAGATGGACATGGGTCAACAAGGTCGCGAATCAATTTTAAAATGAACATTCGGTTTAAGTCCAGCTCTATGTCTAGATATCTGACCTAATAGATCGTACTGTCCGCGCTGATGAGACTGTACGGAATCACGTACGATATGCCACGGAGTAAAGCACGGGCGATGCCCAGCCCATCTCTAATGGACACCCACACCCGCTCTGCGATGACATGAAGTCATACTCAGATATGAACTCACCCGGCCTGTGGGCGCGTATGTGCTCGTTTATCCAGAATCTATCGCTTTCCTTTGGTATGGCAACAATATCCGCCGCACAGACAAACTCATTTCCTAATAGACGGCGCATTATCTCGATATAAGCCATAAAATCCGGCATTGTCAAGACGCCAGCTAGAAGAGAGGCAAGACCAAGAAATAAGATAAATGAAATAAACACATCTGATGCAATGGCCAAAAGATGCACAGCCAGCCACAAAAACCGATACGACTAGGGTCATACAAATATATATTTATATATGTATCTCTATATACATATATATATATATATATATATATATATATATATATTTGTGCACATATATACACGTCTGCAGAAGTACGTACAAAGCCAGAGCAAAAGCCAGCCAAGCGGGCAATAAGCATCGCACAATACACAAATTGGCCACCAGAAGCAAAGGAACTTAGCTTGCTTTTGGCTGTGGCTTCTAAGGATTGGGCAGCTACTCCTATACCCCGTGCCGAATAGAGTATAGAGTATTATTGAGCAGAGACTTTGTCATAAATATGGATCAGGGTACAAAGCAATTTGTCGATCTGTCTGTTTGTTGTTGAGAGAGCATATGCCGAGGAGGCACGGATCGGTTCGTATAGATCATATAGGGAAGATGAAACATCAGTGAAATTCTAGTATGGTATTTTGTTTTTCAAGATATTGTAAGAGCCAATCCATACTGATATAGTAAGGCTTTTAACTTTTGTTTGAAGCATACTTATTGTTTGAATAACTTGTTCGTCTTTAACGATATCTTAACAAATCGGATCTGCCAGTCGAAATGAATGCCTTTGTATAAAGGCCCTATCAAGTCATATGCCTTAAAAGGGTATTTAAGCTTCGGCAAGCCGTAGCAAGCTGTGCTCTTGTTGTTGTTGTTATTGTTGCTGCCTTTGGTTTAGTTGGGGTGTTTGAAGTTGCACGCAACCATTTCCTGTCCAAAAGTAACAACAATAACAGCCCAACATGCATATAGATTGTATATGTGTATATGTGTATATGTGTTTATATATGTTTGTGCAGGAGCCAACCTTTTGCGCTTGCCGCCTGCGTTGGGTCGGAAACGGTGGTCTGTCCTTCCGGCCCGGCTGGGACGGTCGTCATCGCCGTCGGCTGGCAAGTGTTTTGTTGGGCCTGTGCCGGGCTCGGTGAGAGCGGACGCCGACTGCTGGATATCATTTTTGGCAAACGTAAAACTTTTTTAAATTGCGGCAATGCCAGCACCAAATTTGCATTACCCTCCGCCCGATAGATCAACTCAATTTGGCTCATCTCCATCTGCGCGGGCATGTGCAGCAGCGCGTTTAGAGTCTTAGCTCCCGCTCCTGCTGCTGGCTGTTGTGCCGGGGGAGTAGACGTCGGAGCAGCTGCAGCAGTTGTCATGACTTTTGCGCGGGTGTTTGCGGTTCGTTGGCGTTGTCAAAATGCAACTGACACGGACGAGAGTCTCTGTCCGTTGGCCAGCCCGGCGCGGCCCCGTCCGGCCCACTGGCGCGCCAGTGTTGATGATTTTGCCGATTGTGGCTTGTTGCGGTTGCAGATTTTGTGGTTAGTTGTTATTGTTGCTGTGCGTTGCCCTCTGGCTGCAGCTTGGCACGTTTGTTGAGCTTGATTGTTGTTGCGTTAAGATAATCCGGCTTGCCAGGCAAATGGCGCTTGTTTCTATAGAAATTGTTGCCTGAAAAAAGCTTTAATCAATTGGCTTATATATCAAAATATGCGTTGCACTTGTATATTTACGAAATTGAACAGCTGCTGTGTTTAAATAATTAAATAAATCGCGGCTAACACGAAAAGATCACAAAGCTGGCTTAGCGGCGCAGAGCACAGTGTGACCAGACTTTGTACTGAGCACCAGCTGTTTGTGGCGGTCGGCCGATAATCGATCAAGCACAAAAATACCAACTCTACCAGTCGCAAGAGTGTGACCATAGCTTGCGTCGCTCAAAAGCGCACATTTTAAATCACACACAAAATAAAATTACACATAAATATATATAGATTTTTGCTACTTTATTTAATTGACTGCCATTTAAAATTTAGTTTTTGCGTATGTATTGACCTCTGTCCGTTTGTATCAGCGTATGGCCGCCAGCATTAATGACTTGCGTAGCTATACAAATAGATAATTCAATTAAAATAATTACACTTATCGTATACTATATGTATATATTACCAGCATCCGCACTAGCCAGAGCCGCGATGAGCGCAAAAACAAAGCCGCAAATCTTTAGACAGTTCATGTTTCTTTCAATCTGATCAATTGAGACAATATGACAAACAATCGCAACGAGCTGCGCTTTTATAGCCGCAAACTGAGCTGGAAATTCCAGCCCAATTTTTTTATTTTCAATACGTAGAAAAATACCCAAAGCCCTGAACAACAATACTGCTGATAACTCAAGCTAATATGTACATGTACTAATGTTAATAAACGCATAAATGCACTTGATTCGAATGTGGGTTACATACATATATAGTATTAGCTCACGTATGTGCTTGATATAAGTGCATAGGTATCAATCAAATACTATATATGCATGCTTGATATAGCATATAGCCCGATGCTTAAGGGCTAGACTTGGAAATACCGTTTACTAAGGCCCTGAATTGAGTTTTCATATATTCTAGTGCAATTAGGGATACGAAGATATTGTATAGAGTTCGGTGAGAAAACCCATTTAAATATTTATATGATTTTTAATCAGTTACAGGAAGACTTTAAGATGATCTACCTATGATCTACCAGTTAGCCTTCTTTTATTGAATAATCGACAAACGATTATTGCCCATAATAGAAACGTAATATCTCTGAGAATTACGCTTGAGTCTCATACAGTTTTTAGTTCAATTTGAATATCAACAAACTGCTGATAGGCTAGGCGTATTAAGTAGCTGCACTCGCACACGATCTTTTTAACCTGCGTAATTCCATTTTGATAGGAATTTCCCGAGATCAATCGCAGTGACAGCAGCAGCAGAGGCAGCAGCAGCGGCAGCCTGAGCTGCTATAAAAGATCGACTCGGCTCTCAGTTGGGATCAGTATCAATTATACAAAGCAAACAATCAATCAATATGAAGATCTTTCAAGCTGCTGCCCTACTGCTGGCCATGATCGCCGCCCTCGCCAGCGCTGAGCCGGTGCCCAAACGTAAGTTGAGCAATTGTTGGCAATTGAACGAATATCATTTCTAATTATTATGCAAATATTTTCAAATATCTTTACAGCTGGCACTGTGCTGATTCAGACTGACAATACGCAATACATTCGCACCGGTTAAATTTGAATTAATTAATTATTTTAAAATAAAAAACGGAAATGTTAACAAACTGAACAAAACAAAACTAAAATGTTGTATTTATGTTCAGGATTCTTCATTTTCAGCAATTGCGTAAAATGTGTCGAAATTGCATGTTACAATTTGTTGGCAGCAAAATCAACAAGCTAGACAATTCATTTGCAGCACAACGAATACCAGATGCTCTAACATTCAAATTGCATAGAGATGGAAATTGAATTGAAATCTTTGTTTTCAATGTAGGCAGAAAGACATGTCTCATGTTTGCCCCGATTAGGAATATAATTAGAATATATGTATATATTCGCATTGCAAACGTGACGTCATGCGCCTTAGTTGGCAGGTCCCCGGTTCAAGCTCAAGTGTACTTGTTCATTTGATTTGTTATCATTCGCAAAGTACAAATCAGTTGTCATAAATTAAAGCAAGTACGAGCGCAGCTCTTGCATATGATTATTTTATTTACTTTAACAAAATGATAATACCCTCGGTTAGGGTATACAGTAATTAGATGCAACAGTTGCTTTGCTCAACTGCTGACAAGAAATGAATTCAACTATTATTTGATTTCCTGGAATTTGTATTTTGCTTAACAGAAACCAGTTCCAAGCACGTGTTTACTCTAATGGATTCTACGAAGGCATTAAGACAAATTGACGGCCCATTCATAAAGTTTTATGTAACGGGAAACAGTTGCAATAATAATATAAATATATACATATATATAGGAAGATTTGTATAAAGGACAAGTTACACTTACTCAGATTAAAGTAAAAAGTTACATATACTATACAAAATACAGGAAACTATATTTTTTTAAGATTAAAGTAAATGAGATGAACTTGAAGATAGATAGAAATGCAACAATTATATTAACTATATGTAATAAACATAAAATATAATTAATAAACGTTGACTTTTATAATCATTGTTATTGAAACAAAAAAAAAACCAAATATTTTTTCTTATCATTAAACTTTAAACCTCAATTCTAGAAACTATCTGCAGCTTTTGAAGTAGGATAGGGTATTCCATAGTCGAGTCAAGTCTGCTTACGCACATCATTTAAGAACTTTTATCAGAAATGATCAGAAAAAACTTGACACTTATTTAAGTGCACAACTTAATTTTCCATTTCAAGAGAAAAACGTGTTAATACATTTTTTTATGTATCTAAAGCTTAGGGTATTTCTAAGTCGAAACTCGTTTATAGATTAGCTTTGTCTGCTTGCATTACTAATACGTAATTAGACTGATGCTGGAAACGGGTTTTCGCATCAACTTGTTATCAGCCAAGTTGGCATTGTTGTTGTTGTTGTTGTTAAATTGATTTGATAGCGCATAAAGCTGGAAATGCCCCGAGACTGCTCAGCGACATGCATGCTAAGGTCTAGTCGCTTGTTTACCATATAATATATATACTAAATATATGCACTGCGTTGGAAAACTGAATAGTTGGAAGTTTGTCTTCAGTTGCTTGGCTTGCTAGAATGCCGACGGCTTGCATGGAAGAGAACTGAGAACTGGGCTCTGTTCAGACCTCAAAAAATAGGCGCCGCTCATATTTAAGCTGGGCAAAATTTTAAACAAGTTGCACCAAAAGAGCGAAAACTATTCGGTTGTCCTGTGGCTGCCGCTTTTCCGGCTCTGCCATTGTTTCACTTTGAGCCGTGCTGTCCCCGCCCGCTGTATACTACTCCATTTTGTATGCTTCCTTATATCAACAATTATTTGAAACTTTTACCGCAAATATTTCCTTGGCTGGTTTTACGCCTGAAATAAATTGTAATAGAAGTTGCCTGGTTAACAGCTCGTATGACTGGCGACGACTTTGCGGCGGCGGCGGCGGCGGCGGCGGCCGCCCACTGGCTGCCAATATCTTGGGCAGCCCAGACCAGACCAGCCCAGCCCAGTCGGGCGCAGTTCTGCTCTGGCCCAAGCTAATCCTTTTGATTTTCAACTGCACAAATTCCAGCTAACAACAATTTATGTGCCCAGCCCCTGCCCTGACTGGCAACAGTTGCTGCGGCAACAGCCATGCCGAGCAGTCAATAACCAGGCTTGACTGTAGCCATTGTTTGGACTGTGTGTCTGTGTGTGTGTGTTTGTGTGTGTGTGTGCTTGCCACAAAGCACATTGGCTCGTGGAATTTGCAACGTTTACGCTGGAGCATTTGCGCTGGCGGGCAACCAGACCAAGTGCCAGCACCCACTTTCATCTAGTATCAAAGTGAATTTTGTGGCCATGGGAATTATGAGGGAAAAAGTCGAATACGCCGGGCCACAGTCAAATGTAATCAGAATCAGGCGGAATCATGGCCATCCATGCCTGTGCAAATTCCCATTCCCGCTTATCCCAGAGCGTTTATTGGAAATTAATTTATACGTTTCGGCCGGTTCGAGTATTTTGCTTTTTGGCTTAAAAGCCAAATGAGTGGGAATTCCCCATTTGCCAAAATGTTCCGAATGGGTTTTTATTTTCCTTTTTAACTGCAGCAAATCGAAGCCTAAACTGAATTTGACTATGTGGCTCAACTGCATGCCCAGACACTTCCCAGAACACTTCAAAATCTTTAAGGTTTAAATTGACCGGGTTTTTTGCAGCCCGTGATAAGCGCGAGAGCTCGGGCAAAGCCCACACATCGCGAGCTGCTGCCGCTTTTGCGCCTATAAAAGCAGCTGCCGGAGCTCGTTCTAGATCAGAGTTAAAGAGACAACGCTTCAGCACAAAACCAATTAAACAATCAACATGCAATTGATCAAGATCTGCGGCTTTGTTTTTGCCATGATTGTGGCCCTGGCCAGCGCCGAGCCAGAGCGTAAGTACAAGCGTGTTTATGAAATCTTTAGTTTGTTTTAACTCATTTTCTAACTCTATTTACAGCTCAAGGCACGCTGCTGATACAAACCAACAATGCTCAGGGCATTTTCACGGGCTAGAAATGTCACAAAGACCACAAACACACCTTAAACATATCTTTTGATCTAACTTAAACACAAACTTTCCTTTAAAAATGACATTAAAAACTCTTAAAACTTATATGAATGCAATTATTTCAATTAAATATGCTTAGGTAGAGAATTATTCCGTATACAGGTGCTTTATTACTTGATTATGTACTGAAAAGAACAAATGGTCCATTAAACCTAGTCCAACTTAACAAAACTTTTGAACAGCGGAAAGTCGCTAGTTCAAACCCAGCAACAGATCCCCTTTAAGACGTTTTAACATCTGAGTAATTAACGAGAGGACCTTATGTTTAATAAGAAACGTCTAATTAGAAATATTCCTACTAAATTTAATTTCTGAGCAGCGGACTAGCAAGCAGAAAGTCGCCAGTTCAAACCCAGCAAGCGGAATGTTAAGACGTTATAACATCTGAGCATCGACTGCAAAGAATAATTAACCAGAGGACCTTATATTTTCATTCATTGTAAACATAGCCGGCGCATCGGACTAACAAGTGGAAAGTCGCTAGTTCAAACCCACTAACTTAGATTCTATAGCACCTGAGCATATAAATATCTAGAGGATCTCAAGATATAATTTCCAAGCATCGAGCTGACAAGCGGGAAGTCGCCAGTTCAAATCTAACAATGGTCAATTTTAATCATTTATACTATATAAAGACATCCAGTTTCTACTTCCGAATACTTTTCTCCACTTACGACAAAACCAGCGCATCGCACTAACATCCAGAAAGTCGCCAGTTCAAATCTAGCAACAATTTTCGATTTTAATCACCTTATAAGGTCTTTGATGCCTCCTTCTATGAGGAAAGGGTACAATAAACCCTAAAGCACAACTGAATCAACCTTCGGAGACTTTTATTCATTTCCAACATAACCAGCGCAAATCATAAAAATATATATTTTGTGTAAAACATAAATTTAAAAAAGAAGAGTTAATTAATTCGTTTAAAATGAACCCAAGCTAACAATTTAATGCAACACAGCGATCGCCCAGGGGCTGCTTCTTGCGCGCATTCATCGCAATCCGACAGCCCTGCTCGTCGCAGAGGGCGCCGAACTGGGCCAATTGCTCGGCGCCAATGTGGAAGATGCGCGGACAGATGGCCCACTGGCTGGGCAGAACGACATTGCCGTTGGCATAGGTGCCGCGATACGTGTAATAGTCCTGATTGAAGCACCACATCAGTGTGGCCAAATCAAACGGTGGCAGCTCGATGACTGAGCCGGCGCGCCGTATGGCCCACAGGTTCTCGACCACCTGGTCCAGAAATTGGTTTTTCTGGTGTGACAGCGCGAACATATAGGACACGGTCAGATACTCGTATGCTGCATCGGGCATATTGGTGGCATGCAACACCTGCATCTCCATGGCATAGCTTCGCGAGTCTATCGAATGCTCCGAGGCGCCCCACTTGAAGATCGCCTCCACAAAGTAATAGTTGCCGGGCAGCGTGCCGCCGCTTATAAACGGCGTACACTCCGGGCCGCAGGAGATGCGCATTATCACCGTCTTGCCATTGTTCTCCAGCAATATGGCCGGGGGCAGTTCATCGTAGCTGTACCACTGCAGCGCCTCCACGTGATCCATCCGGAAGACTCCGCGTCGCGCGATATCGATGGGCGATGGCTGACGCTCGATTAGGCTCTTGCGCGGCTTTGGCTCGCACAGATTGGTCAATATAATGCTGGCCGACTTCACATGCGCTATGAACACCAGCGCCATAATGCAGCTAACCAGCCCCATAAAGTAGTTCGACTCGTAGGCATAGTCCATGGCCCCGGCCACATTGGTGGAGAGACTGCTCCAAAGGTAACTCACCAAATCAAGCAGCATGTCCTCTGGATATTCTGTTCAGTTTTAACTAGTTAGCTAAATCGAATATAATTGAGTACGTTAGTCAAATGTTAAATGCGTTGCCTACTTCGAGCTGAAATACGTGAGTACGCTGAGTAGCCTACGAAGAGTATTTGATTAGGTAGCCTTCTGAGAGTATTACACATAGGAAAAAGGGCGGACCTTTATGAGTATAAATAAATGTTTGTTGTACCCAAAACTAGGAGATACTCGAAATCC